TGCTTCCAGCTGGGCAAAGCGTACGGCGTCTGCCTCATCCTCTACTACCTGGCCTTCCTCTGCGTGGCCCTGCTGACCGAGTTCAGGGTGATCCGTCTCTCCGCCATCTGACCGGCCCCACCACCGGCAGGAGATGCACATCCATCCCTGGCTCTCGCTCTGCCTCCCTGCCGGATCGGGGCCTCGCTGTCCCCTCTCCCTGTCCCTGCCAGACGGACAAGGGCACCTTGACCCCAACCGTGCTGCAGCCACCACATGCTGGAGGCATCACGTGCCAGCCTTCGCTTTCCAGAGAGGGGCTGGTTGGTTGTGCTTTGGGAAAAGGAGCTGTTAGTCATTAGCTACGGCCTCTCCCCGCTGTTTAATCTTGTATAACTCAAGGTGGCTCTGAGCAGGAGGCAGGTTAAGACCTCGGCTTCCTCCGGTCCCGGTGGCAGGGGCAGGGAAGAGGGCAGCTCCAGCCCAGGGTCACGACAGGAGAGGTTTTACCTCTTCAACCACTTTACTTTCCCCTCCCAGTCTCCATCCCGGCTGCTCTGGGACGGGGCTAGGGCAGTCACGCCACCCGGGGTAACTCTGTGAAGGTCTGAGCACGAGTTTGTCATTGCAAAGGACGTGATGTGGCTTTGAAACGGCAGCCAAGGCGAAGCGAGACGGGGTTAAGGTGAGACGAAGCTCCAGGACAGTGCTCGGTTTTAATGCAAGCACAGCTGGAGGGAAAAAAAAACCCAAACCAACCCAGGGAGGCTGGTTTCCCCTGCTTTTTTAAGCTATGTTTTTCAACCCGAGTTTCAGATCCTACTTTTCTCCTCCTCCTAGGGGGGACAGAGCTGTAGGAAAGGACTGGGAGGTTTCCACACACAGTGTTAGCCTCTGGCAAGACTAGGCTTAGGCACCGTAAAAAAAACCAAACAAACAAAAAAAAACACCACACAAAAAAATTGCAAATTGCAATAAAAAACCCGACCACAAACCCAACGTCGACTTGTGTTGCTTGCTGCGAGGGTGTTTTCTCCTGCTCTCTGCTAGCGTAACACAACCCTCACCCAGCACAGCGCCTTGGAGGGGGAGAGGGAGCACCCGTAGCTTCTCCGGGGCGGCAGAGGGGCTGGACGCCCTCGGCTGCGCAGGACGGTTTTCCCAGCGGCTCGGGGAAGTGGTTTCCTCCAGGTTCACCAGCAGTTGATTTCTCAACAGCGGTCACATGCGCCTGACTCAGCCATTTAGTTGGGAAGTGCAGCATCACGGCGCGCGGTCAGCATTGCTCAGCTCCCCAGGGCCGGGGACGCCGGCGGGGCAGCCCACGGTCCCAGGAGAAGCGGAGCGGGTGGGCTGGTGCTGCTGCTCCTCGTCGGAGGGTCCGCAGGGTGCAGGCTAGAAAGCAAACTGCCGTTACGGACAGCCAGCCAGCCACGTTTTTGCTCCGCAGGGGCTGTTTTGCAAGAAGCACAACCGCCAGACCTGGTTCCTGCTCCCTTCTAAGGGTGCCAGCCGCCTCCTGGGCCTGGATCATTTCTCCTTTTTCTAACCAGATACGGGCTTTCACAAAAAAATACCGCTCCCCGTGGCTGCAGCTATTGGCTCTGCCCTGAACCTGCTCACAAGTTACCAGCAGCTGCCGGAATAATCCGGGGAGACGAGCCCCACGTCCTCACACACGGCAGGGCTAAAGCAATCAAAACCGCGGCCAACGTATCAATACAGAGGTACAGGCTCAAAAACCACCTTCTAACCTTAAACACTGCATTGGGGTAGCTTTAAAAAGCGTAAGTTTGAAAGCATTATCTTAATGTTTAGGAAAAAAACGGGCAGGGGGGAGGGCAGAAGGGAAGCTGGGCTTTGCAATGCCCAGAAGAATTCAGAGCAGCTCGGCAGGGCGTGCATGCAAAATATGCCCACGCAAGCAATTGCCACCAGAGAGGGAGGGCAGGCACCGCTCCTCTTCAAACACTGGTGAAACGCTCCAGCTACAGCCAAGCCCCGCTTCTGGAATAACGCGGGAAGGAGGAAAGGAAGCCTTTACAAAGCCGAGGATGCTTTTTATTAGTGTGCTTGAAAAAAATCTAGAGAACGTTTTACAGACATGTCCATAAAATCATTTTACAAACAAAACGCCAGCATACAAAACCCTGCAGTGCTTCCTCCCTTGCTCCCTACAAAATGATTGTCTCCGTCGTTAGTCTGCGTGTCAGGCGGGGGAGAGGAGGATAAATAGAAGGGGATGCCCCGTACTCAAACTTTGTTTCCTTCCAAAGTCGTATGGAAGAAGTAAACTTCTGTGACCCTCCTTGGTTTACAAAAATAAGGAATACAGTGTGTACACGGGGGCGGACCGACACCTCGGCACGAAACCACGGGAGCAGCGCCCGAGCCCTGAAGCCCAGGCCAAGCGTTCCCGTCGCTGCGCCGCGAGAGCCGGGGTATTGCCTGTTAGGCAGGTTAGTGCTCCCCTCGATGGAGCTTAAAGCTGCAGCTCCTTTCACACCCAGAAAACACCCCAAAAAAAGTCACCCACAGCCCTGCCAGGAGAAATAGGCTGTAGGGGAATGCGGAGTTTAAACACAGCCGCGTTTTTTTTTTTCCCCTAACCTTCACGATGCTCATTCATCCTGCCCACAACTTAAACCCGAATAAACAGCATCTCCTCCAGCCCCAGGACTAATCTGGGTAAACCTCCCAGGCTGCGACTCCATGCAGAGCAACTGCTAGAGCAACCACTGCACTGCTCATTAATTTGTGGTCGAATTTATGGTTTGGAAAACAGCCCTTTAAGGTCCTTCACGGTTCAGCTCAGAAGTAGTTTCATACCTGCAGTCCCCAGAAAGGAAACAAAGAGTTGCCCTGAGGCACCCAGGGAATCTGGCAAGGGTTGAGAGCAGGCGCTGGTGTGCGTGCTGCCCCCAAAGCTGCTCACCCGCTCTTTCCATCCCACAGCCCAAGCGCTCCCACCACGCTATGCAGGGAAGAGGTTTTCAGAAGCAGCTCTGTCTCGCCTGCTTTTGAAAGTCTCGTCCACCCAGGAATGCTCCTGGGCCGCCCGGGTAGGATCGGTCCTCTCCCGCTGTCCTTGCGCCACGTGGCGAGGCTACCAAGGAAAAATCAGGTAGGTGGGACAACGGGACCGGGCAGACAGACCTCCCGCTGCCTGATCCTCCTGGAGGACGGAGAAAGCCTCCCCGGCAAGCTCTGCTCTTGGTCTGAACCTGAGAAAAGATCAAACAGCAAGAGGCGAGGGGAGCCTCTCCCAGCTGACAGATACTTCTGGCCCTCAGCACTTTCTGTGCTGACAGGGCAAAAAAAAAAAAAAAAAAAAAAAAAAAAAAAAAAAAAGAGATAA